AGTTAAGGAAAAAGATATCGTACAAGTTAAAAGCCCTTATTTAATTTTGAATGAAATATATATATATATATATATATAATAAGTTAAAGGTGTTGATTTTACCTTCCCATTAAAAAGACAAAGTTTACTAGTTAGGTTAGGTCCCTCAACATGGCTCCATACTTTGAATAAATATATTTATAAAAAAAAAAAAAAATTTGAATAAATTGTATACATAATCATAATAGGTTCTCTTAAAATTTTAATTTATTTAATATTTCATTACATGTTTATATTTTAATTTATTTAACATTTTATACCATATTCATCAGCTTATGAAAGAAATGATATCATACTAAAGATAGTTGTGACATACTTTTGTGTTGCTGCAAATAAATTTATGCGACAATTATCTCTCTGTCGAAAAAAATAAAGAAAAAGAGAGAAAAAAACAACTGTTATACTAATTTTTGTAGCATCGCTAAACAGGTTTTTTCACAACTGATCATATTAAAGATAGGTGTGACAATAGTTTTTTATGCAACTTCTGTTGCAAAAAGTAAAAAAATAAAAAAATAACAAGAAGAAGAAGAAGAAGAACATTTAAAAAAGAAAAAAGAAAAAACAAATGCTATAATATTTTTAGTGGCATTTGCAAACAGTTTTTTGAAACGATGCTTGGTGGCATTTTCCACACAATGCCGGTAAATATCTAAGAAATTAAAACAATAAAATATGTATATCTGTTTCTCTTGCAACAATAATACATTAAAACTTGCCCTTATGATCAATCACAAAATAATGTTGATATAATCACTTTACATTCAACATTCAACACACGAAAATAAAATGTTCAAATAACTGTCAAGTCAACCAATCTACTCTTCAGCTCCAAGGCTTAAAAAAAAAGAAGGCGGCGGGGGGTGGGGGGTTGGAATTGGAGAAAATGAGATTATAAATTCTGAGATGCAGTTCAGGTTAAAAAAAAAAAAAATCTTGAAGCAGCATCTTTTCGTTTCTTTGATTGGATCTTCTTCATGTAGAATTCAAGCTTGAATTCCCTCCAATATATGCCTGTTTAAGCAATTTGGGTCCTCATTCATTAAAAGAAACCACAACTGTAAAGAGTATTAAAGTACCTAGTCATCGCGGCAACAATAAAATCAAGCAATCATGATATACCCATAAGGATCTTCAATAACAATGAACCAACTAACAAAAATTACCTTTGAATAGTCTCTAGATCTCTGTATGTATGCCCTTATAGAAAGTACACAATAGTGCAAACAAATGTGCTCATCATAAACTCCTTGGATTTTCAAAATATTATCCTACATATGAGAAATAAAATGGATGTCAACCCTAATGCAAAAAAATACCCTCAAAAGTGCGAATATATAAATGGGTTGCAAAATTAACAGCTTCTTAAAGCAAGTGTACAAGCTCAGCTTGAAAGAATCAGTCCCTAGAAGAAGAAAATGCAATGGTTCGTAATATGCCACTCAAAATACTAATACATCAAGGACAAATTTCTGATGCAGCATGCAATAGAAATAAAAAATATTTGATGCAACCATACAAGTGTGATGACACAGTCCTTTCTTTTAATGGATGATATGTGACTAGCGGCAGAGCTTTGCATTCTCACATGCAAGGCATATCTTCAGATTATTATTACCTACCAAAAAAAAGGCATATCGTCACATGTGATCAAACTGAAATTATGTAATAAGAAATAATGAATATGGTGATACATAGGACCGTATTAGTGGAGAACTAGAGTCCATATTAGACAATGATGGTGATGAATTAATGGAGAGGTTCATGAGTTCTTTTCCCCCTCTTAAAAAAAACCAATTAAGCTAGAGAAAATAAAGAAAATGAGGTGATAGAGCTGTGTGCTCATCCACAGCTAATGTCAAGATAATGATGGTGGCACCTTCATGGGAGTGCCTTAAAGCATGGGTCATAGCTAGTATCACTACATTAGTTGTAGGTAGGTAGCACAAGAGTAGTACTAATATATTTTCAATCTCTCATTCCTTGGCAGTGCTTTAAGTAGGAAAAAGCATTAGTCCCATAAGACAAGTGTAGTATTTTAATTTAACCACTGGTTCAATAGTTAAATTCGACCTACTAATCTTGAGATTGTGGGTTTGAACCTAAGAACCACCAATTTGTGCGAATTATGCCAAAGGAAAGGTTAGGTTTGTACCCAATCTATCTCCTCCCGGACCCCCTTCAAATGGGACTGAACAGGGTGTAATTCTTTTTTCATTATTATTTATCATATTCCATATCCCATATACTGTATGTAAGTTGGTGCATTGTTGTGGAGGAATTAACTAGATCTTTTTGAAAATGCACAATTAATGTACAATATTGATTGAGAAAGTCATTTAATGCAATTACAATTCTAGAAATCTAATAAAAAAATCTCTTTCCCCAAACTCAAATGAGGAATTTTGACATATTTTTGTTTCTTATGGTCTTCCGACACACCATAAGAGGAACACTCTAACCCTAAATGCTGTAAAGCCTTCCAAAAAAAGTTTGATGCAACAATTCAAGTGTAATAATACTGTCATTCAAATATTACATAACTTGATTTCATGGCCTCACCTGCAATGGATGACGTGTAACTAGCTGCAGAACTTTGCATTTTCACAGGCAAGGCATATCTTCAGTTTATTATTACCTACCAAAAAAAGGCATTCGTCAGATGAATTGCACTGAAATTATGTAACAAGAAATAAATGAATATGGTGATAGAATAGGAAAATGCATACCTCAAGATAAGCGTAGTATTTTCATTTAACCACTAGTTCAATAGTTAAAACTCAACCTACTAATCTTGATATTGTGGATTCGAACCTAAGAACAACCACTTCGTGCAAATTATGTCAAAGGTTAGGTTTGTACCCAATCTACCCCCTCCTAGAATATTGATTACTTTATCCAGCACTCATCCTTAATTCACAATTTTCTCAAAACATGCCCAAAACTATTTTGTATTTGATGTGCCTAATTCCCCGGCTTTCCAAGCTTTTCTTTGAACACAATTGATCCATTTTTCTGTTAGTTTGTTGAATCATCTTCTTCGTTGCAACATGGTTAACATCCATCTTTTTAAAAAATTGTTTGCCTCTTTCTGCTCATTCATCCATTTTCATGATTGTGGAAAACTTCTTCCCAAGGTCTGTTGCCCTTTTCATATAATGGGTGGTTGGTCCCATTCTTTGTTTCAACTCCCAGGTGTCCTTTGACAAATCCGTTATCAATTTTCCAGTTGTTGCGATTGATTTTTCTATTTCTGCCATCTTTTGATGATGACCAATGATTTTTTCTAGGTATCCTTTGATATATCCTCTTTCATTTTGTGAGTTGTTGCTTCTCTCGTCTTTTAGCAATACCAATCATTTCATCATGGCAAACACACACACCTACTTTTCCTTTTTTCAGGCATTTACCTGGTTTCATTCTTTTGTTTTTGGTGACGCACTTGTTAGCTTCTTGATTCTCTTCTCTCCTTTCCAGACCCTTGGTTAGCATTTTCTAGCTACCAAAATTTATCTTCAATTTTGTATCATGGAAAATTTTGAAAGACTCACTTTGGTTTTGATAGCAAATTTGTTGGGGGCAGTAGAAGCCTAATATTAAAAACTGTACTAATAATGGGCATGCATGTCTATGCAAGGAGATATACGACTGTAGTAGCCATACAGAGCTCCTTCAACATGTATTTAGAACGCAAACAGAATATTTCTATTTTATTAATCTCCTTCCTTTTACTTCACTTAAAAATAATCATCCTACCATATCCTTTTCATAGGACTACATAGAAACTCGAGTTACATAAATCACAAGCCTCTAGAAACCATTTTCTATTCTTATGCAACCTATTAAACATATTCATGTATTTTCTTAAAATGAATGCACAACCCAACATAAATTTCTAGAAAATTGTGGGTTACTTTTTCCAGAAAGTAAATCATGAAACATGTGATTAAGACCCTAAGTCACCAAAAGGTGTTCGCAGTGCAGGTGCAGGAGCTTGAGAGCATCTTTTATGAAAATACCTCCAGAGCGGGAGAGGCTCTAGAGTGTGTACATACATATATATTTTAATATATCATACACATTAATATATATTGTAGTAATAAATGAAAAGGTTGACATGTGGTTAACACATACATCGTGGTATAGTGGTTTGTCGTTTCTAGTTTCATATTTGAAGTTGTCAGATCGATTCTTCTAGTTACTAATTTTTTGTCCTTTTAGCACATAAAACGATTTGTACAGGTGGGCCAGTGCAGAATAGGCACGGCACAGCCACCACGTGGCCACTAATTATTGGTGAATAGGGAATTTGGTGTAGATTCACGAATTTGACAGCCACAATTTGTGGATTTGCCCATTTTCTTCATCAATCCGCCAATCCGCGCTACGGTGAGCAATCCGGCCACCCTACCATGCAGATTAGGTGACTTAGTTAAAAGCTATTTAAATAGTAAATATATTGGTCTGCCTTTCATCTTGTATTAATTATGTTTAAAGGGCACCTTAGGGATCTACTCATAAAAATGGTAAAACCTGTCTAGTCTATGTATCATTGTTGAAATTCAATTGAAACCATCACAAAAAGAAAAAAACTCTTCTTGATCGCCATTAAAAAGTTGTAATGGCACCTAATATTGTCCATTTTTTTGTACACACTTTCCTCCTCTTCATGACAGACACAATCTCAGGTAACATGTCCTCGACAAAGGAAGTTCATAAGAGTAACTGATAAAACAGATGTAACAACAGTTTATAGGCAGTACAATTTATTGATAACATGAAGAAAAAAAAACAAAGAACAAGATACATAATTTAGGAAAACTTAATCACCATCGGAGAGGGTTGAGAATGTTGTCAGTCAAGTGAACGAGCACAGATGGCATTACCACGCGCCCAGAAACATCTTCTACAATGCCGATTGGATTATTATGTGACCATATAGGATCGCTCTGCAGCTCAAGTCAACATGTACTACTGGCATTACTAGACCTTGAACGCTTCACACCCCTCCTAACACGTTTAGGAAGCGGTGTCGGCCACATTGGGAGCACAAATGGAATCACCACGCGCCAAGAAAGGTTTTCATCAATGCCAACTGGATTACAAGAAACTTCCAACCGTTTTGTTTTAATGTTATAAGCGACAATACAAGATCTCTCCTCACATCTTAAATACACGATATCCAAATTAAATGGATGGTATGCTAATGGAATGAAATGAACATGAAATAAATAGCTACTTATTTGAGGATCATCCGACCAAATTTCATCATGTGTAGCTCGATGCACTAAATTCCACTCCCCCTTTTTATAATCTCTCATAATCCACATACTAAAACAGATATCCTCCGTGATATCAGGAGCTGCCTCAAAATACCTAAGCATCCCTTGGCACTCCTCGCACAAACGGTAAGATCCATCATATTGATTTTCGCTTTCAATGTCTCTATAATTGGGCAAATCGATCAGTCTACATTCCTCAAAATTGTAAGGATCAAAGGCTACAATTCGATGTCCATAGGCAAACCAATGCATTACCCCATTAAAAACAAAAGGGCCACCACGTTTGAACAACTTAAACGGTTGAGCCTTTCATTTTCTTAAAGAGAGCCTATAGCAACCCCATTTACGGGTCTCCGAAGAGAAGACCTCGAAATTGAGATAAACAGACTCTACAGGGTGCCATTCAACACGAACCACCTTGTAGCTAGTGACCATATTATCCTGATTAGCGAAAGCAATCAAGCCCTCGCCGATAAAAAAGGGGTGCAGATTTAGACCACCGTCTGGGGGTTTGGGTAAAGTAACCCATTGTGTGGTTACAGGGTCACACATATAGTAAGTTAAAGGAGCTACCAAGCAAGACAGAAGCAAGCCTTTGCTCGTTGCCAAGATCTTAAACAGTTTCCTGCGTTGTAGGTGTTCTTGGTGAGTAGACAGAAACAACACAGAGAAATTCTCAGATGGGTACACATCAGGCGATTCGGGATCCAGACGCTCGAGAATTTGCCGAAAATGCGATACGTACACGTACCTATAAAGGATTCTGAAATTGATTTTCCGAGAAACATACAATTGAGAAAACGAGGGTTCGGAAATTCGAGAGAGCCAGTTTGGGGACACAGCTTTGAACCTAAAGACCCATTTGACGGGCAATCTGAGAACAATTTCTTGGATAAGCGAATCGTGAAGGTGAGGTAAACCTAATTGGGAGTGATCGACATCAACAACTTGCTCATCGGATTGGGGATTTCTGCTACTAACCTTTATCGGAGAAGGTAGTCGGCAGGGTGTAAGCTCACGACAAAAGTCGCCACTAGTTCCGTCGTCGCGGCTACTGTCGCCACCGTTGCTTCCACAGCTGCTTTGGGGGCTCTGCATGGTTGCAATTGGCACCAGAGGGAGAGAATGGAGAAGAACTCTCTCCCGATCCTCTCTGTGTCTCTCGGAGGAGAGTAAAGTAAAGGCAGTGGCTTGTAATTGTGTTGTTGGGGCCAGTGGCCGAGAAAGTGATTGATTGCAAGTGGCTGTCGGTAGCGTAGCTGTGACATACGCCTAATCAGATGTCTTGCCAGATTTACTGACAGGTGGATTTGTATGGTACATATGTGCATAAATTACATATACTTGATTTAATAAAATTACAGATGTTTATGAAGTTTGAAAAATTATAGATATTTTTGAAGGTATTATTTACATAATAAATTAGGAGGTAAATTGTTATAAAAATATAAATTTTATAAGACAATTTATTATGAAAATATAAACTTCAAAGAAGTATTTGTAATTTTCAAAACCTCAAAGAATATCTATATAAAGAGTATCTATAATTTAACTAAACCTTGAATAAGTTAAATGTAATTTGAATATTTATTCATGAGTTATGGCAAGACCCTAAATAAATTATGAAATTTTTTATCAAATCTCTTAAATAGATATAAGATGGATACATATGTAATTTGTATAAGTGTCATATCCATGTAAAATTTGATAAAAAATTTAATAATTTATTTAGATTTCATGATATTTTAATTTATTTATTTTATTTTATTTTATTTTATTTTTTTTTGCTTGTAATTTGAAATATGAATTTTTATTAATCGTATTAACTTATTAAGCATTTGTTTGGGTAAATTAAAATAAGTATATTTTTAGATATTTTTTTGTTTTTTTAAGTTATATTTTTTTTATATATTTTTTAATAAAAAAATTAAAAATATATTTATTTATATCATTTCAAACAACTCCTTAATAGCAACGACAACTACCCCACCAAAAAAAATTTAAAAAAAAAATTCAAATATTCTATTAAAATTTTTATTCAACATTGTAAATCTCACGCGAGCATTTAGTTAATTAAGAGTAATGTTAGATATTTTAAAAAATTTATCAAAATTTTTACGAAATGTCTCACATGAATATGATATTCACATCACATAGAACCTACATGGTATAGATCTCACATTTGGTAAATTTTTTAAAACTTCTAACATTTTTCTTTGGTTAAATGTTTTATAGTATCTTTTTGTATTTTTAACATTGCTCAAAAAAAAAAAAATTACTTAATTTTACAGCTCTTTGAGAAGTTTTAAACAAATTCTATCTTCAAATTATCCAAAAAAAAAAACAAAACAAAACAAAAAAACAGAAAACAAAATAATGACTAATTGTGTTTTTATGTTGATAACTCAGTATTTAACTAAATAGAACAATTAATTCGGAATATCAAATTCATCGCCCATTAGTGAGGGGATTCAATTAAAATTAAGGTAAAGTATCTTCTCAAAAGTGTTTTTTTTATAAAAGGGTGTACTCATAACATTGTTTGAATTAATTTGTAGTGTTATTTTTTTTCAAGTGTTTATAAGGGAATTTTTAATCTTGTTTTTTTCAAGTGTTTATAGAGGCAATCCCTATCCAGTATTAATTATTAATTAATTTTAAATTACACATATTTGGTCCCTCTAATTTTTCAAAAATTAAATTGTTAATAAAAGTTAATATATCTACGAAATATAGGATTCAAAGTAAAAACGTTAGTAATTTGAATAAAATATTTAAAATATATATAGTTTCTCACCGCTAGTGTCTATAGAATATCTTACGATTGCTATCTTTTTATAACTCAATATGAATATAAAAGAACATGTTTATTTATTTATGTTTTTCATATTATTTTTCATATTTTATGTAGTAAAAATTGATATTATAAATGATATTTTTTTTAAAAAATTTCTATTCACCTACTCTATGTTGAAATTTTAAGTCTGTTCCTATTTTTATCATTGATTTGTAATTATTTTTTAGAACGTACACTAAATTAAAAATGTTCCTAACTTATATGCATATAATTACGATGTCATCATTTTGTATCACCAAATTATATGACAAAATAATATTAATTTTAATTAATTCTTTCATAATTAGCTCCAAATAAAGAAATCAATCGTAAATCTTGATGTCATCAAAGACGCATAATATTTCTCAGTTTATTTATTTATTTATTTTGTTGGGCACTTACTTACCGAGAAAAACGTGTGATATATCTAGTACAATTTTAAAATAGATGGCTGTGTGTGTCAATTTTCAATCACACTGCCAACTAAGTACTCAGCTGGAGAACACCGGCAGAATAAATTAAGCACGAACGACTTGCAACAGAAAGAAGAGATTCCGGTGGTAGTTCGTCCACCCGGGGGCACTCCGACGATCAAGTCAGTAAAATATCTCTCAAAGATAACCAATAGTGCTTAACTCATTAGACATAGCATAAAAAGCATACCTTAGACCTATGGGGGTACCTCACTTTTATAACCAATACAATCCTAGTCCCAAATAGAAGTCTAGCTCCAAGGGACTTAGGATTACTGCTAATCTTGGACTCCCAGTAGAATTAGGATAAACTCTCTAAGAGTCTTATATTTACCCAAACTGAAGTCTGCTCCTATTCTAGGACTCTTGTCCCTTATCCGCTTATTCCGGATTCCGGTATTCTCGCAGATAACCTCGGCCTAGCCGAGATCACCTCGACATCATGACCAGGACACGTGACACCTCGGCTGGCACTTCGATGACACCTCGGCCACGTGTTGTCATTCAAAAATTATGTCCCCACAACTGCCCCCTAGGTTCTATTACTTCGGCATCCTGAAGTGATAGAACCTATATCATTTCTTTCATTTTGCACGTCGGCTAAGCTCGCTTCATCATCTATTGCCGAAGTCAGAACTCGTCAGCTCAATATGACCAAGACCTATAGTCTGCTTTCATCAATGCTTTAGAACCAGCGACCAAGTTCGCTCAAGTTTCTCAGTCGAAATCGTCCTCCTAGCTGAGGTATTTGTTTCATTGAATGAAGAACTCCAAGAGTTCCAGCACGCATATAAGCTGGCACGTACAGTATTTCAACTGTCTTTGCCACGCGTCTTTCCCCTACTGGACCGTACCTGATACGCACTATCAAGTTGCATCACTTTTGCGTGCATTGTCTGACAAACACGTCGTCCAAGGCACCATAATTGTCATTTTGCCGCCATTTCATGCTTTTGATCAAAATCAACTCTTTCTCCGTCTTTTCACTTTTGCATCTTCGTTCTTGTTCAAACTTTCTCTCTCAAATCCTCTATTGCTGCTTTTGCGAAACTTTCTACCACCAGTTTCACTCTCTCCTTCCGGTGAGGCTTTCATTGCACTTCTTTGCTTACTACCACCGTTTGACATCGGCGTACACCGGTCTTTTTGTAATCTAAACAATCATTATTCAATGTTAGGCCGAAGTGCCTTTTTTCCTTTTCTGAATGCATTCTATACTTAAAATAATTTATATGTCTTCAAAATACACCTTAACTATGCAATTTCCTCGGGGTGTAACACCTCAGTTGTACCCACTAATCGGTTTATCTCAGCCTCGGCTTAACACTTGAAAATATTTTTTACAATATTTTCACAAGTGTTATTTACAACTCGATACTTCACTCTTAGCAAGACTTATGTTTTCAAATTTCTTCCAAGTCTTGGCAACATGGTAATCTCGGTAAATATGTAAATATTTCTTTTAACATAACCTTGGCTTAACTTGTAAATTTTTCTCAAAATTTCAACAAGTGTTTAAACCAATCTTCTTTTAACATAACCTCGGTTAACTTCAACTTGTAAACTTAAATTTTAGCAAGCATTAAACGTGACCTCGGTTTAACTTCAACTTGTAAACTTAAATTTCAACAAGTGTTAAACACGTCCTCGGTTTAACTTCAACTTGTAAATTTCAATTTCAACAAGTGTTAAACACGTCGTTGGTTTAACTTCAACTTGTAAATTTCAATTTCAACAAGTGTTAAACACATCCTCGATTTAACTTCAACTTGTAAACTTAAATTTCAACAAGTGTCTAAACTAATCTTAGCTTGTGAAATTTCGACTCCCAAGCATCATTCTTCAGCCCTTTGACCCCTAATGTGAACTTAAGTTCCACTTGGGTTCTCATTAGGCACGTGGCTTTGACCCTCGTCACCGATGTAACATTTGAACAAAGACTGGCCGAGGTTATTAACCTTGGTCTCTTTACTAAAGCACTTAGCTCCAATCTATGTCTGATTTTGCTGATATGACAAGTCCAGGTTAACCCAACTTAGTTTAACTTTATTATATGCAAGTAAAGTTTCTACTATGCCATATAATAAGTCTAAGTCATTTGTCATGTTTCAATCAGAAACATCGTCATAGGACTGGTCGGTCCTATCGCACAGATTTCAAAAATCAAACTAGCACTTCAGCCGTTATGCCCCATTGCCGGCAACCTTTCTTAGGCTGAGGTCCTTAACTTTGAACTCTCTTGGGCTGACCTTCTTGTTGTAAACCCTAGCAAGTTGTTGCTGGTATGTCCCCAGCCGAATTGCTGTTCTGTCGCACGTTGCAGGTGGATTTCAAAGCTTTTTCATGTTTTTTTACATAGGCTTCAACTTCTTTTTGCGTGTAAGGCCAAAAGAATCCCTACGATATTGCTCTATGGGTAAGGGATCTGCCCCCTGTATGGCTTCCACATACTCCTTTGTAGACCTTATATGAAAATTCTTTAATTTAGGCCAAGTTCTTCTCTTCTCGGACTTAATTATCTAGGCCGAGATCTTGTCTTCTGAGATCTGGGATTCGAGATCTGGAATCCGGGATCTGCTTACTTGGACTAAGCTTTTGTCTTCTTGTATCCAGTGTTATCTCGACTTCGCTTCAGCGAACCGTTTCTCTTATCTTGTTTGGACGCCTTTGTCCCTGGCGTATTTTCCTCAACTCTGACATATTTTTCTATCCTGGCCATCAGCTCCTCCATGCTTTCGGCAATGTCTTTGCCAGTGATTTTCGAAACAGGCAGTCATCCTTCAAGTCGT